GAACTGCGTGAATTATAGTACCGGTGAAATTTAGTTCTGCAAGGTGAACTCACCGATGGCAGCATTTAGTAGCCGTCGGTGTCATGAGGAACCAAGTACGGCCAGCAGGCAAAGGGCATCTGCAGACTGGAAGCTGCCAATGACAGCAATGAAGGGCTGGCCAGGTGTGCACGTCCATTGATAAAGTGTAAGAACTGGCCATGACCGGCTGTTGTCAAGGCTCTAGTGCCGTGCAAAACGATGGCCAGACGAACTCAGAAACCTGTAGTTAGGCGATATTGGCCTACAACTTCATCCAAAGCAAGGCACCGGTGAAATCTTTGCTTTTTCTGGGGGTCGGAGGGAAGCTTGACGTTTACGGGCTCTCGCTGCCACATAGAACTCTCAAGTTGTTACCGAACAACAGTCTGGGCGCACTTCCAAAGTAACACGATCCACAACAGAATGTAGCATCTCGCAGCTTTGGTTGATCACATCACAGCGCTAGCTCTGGGGGCCTGAGGGAAGCTTGACGTTCACGGGCTCTTGCTGCCACATAGAACTCTCAAGTTGTTACCGAAGAACAGTCTAGGCGCGCTTCCAAAGTAACACGATCCACAACAGAATGTAGCATCTCGCAGTTTTGGTTGACCACATCACAGCGCTAGGACTATGGTTATCACAAAAAGGAGAAGTGACGACTTAACAAACAAAAGCGCCAAGCTGCCCCACCACAACTTCGCAGGGCAAAACAGTTATCAACGCTGTCTTTCAATTTTCGGTCACACGAGCACAGCTTGTTCACAAGTCTTGGAACGTCAACACAGCACCACTGTTCACAACGAACATCGTTTCACTCGCGGACACTAGATTGCTCTCAAGAAAATAGAAGCGTACGGGCTAACCAGTGGCGAAGCAAGAACCGAACACAGCGCGTAGTTCATACGTTTGCGTACGTACTTGGGGTCACTCAAGTAACGTGCGAAAACGCTGTCAATCCGAAATGTCGCACAGCACCCAACTGAGAGACTGGAAAGTCGGCAAGGTTTCATTTGGCGTTGCATAAGTCTGTTGCCAGACTTTGGGGTGGTTGTTGCCAAATTGCTGCTAAATTTGGCAGAAAATTTTTTTCCTGTAGTTGTGGCTTCTTCGTAAGAGTTGGGTGCTATCCGCGGTGCACTTCGTGGCTGAAAACTTTTCTCCTGTAGTTGTGGCTTCTCCGTAAGAGTTTGGTGCTATTCGCGGTGAATTTCGCGAGTGCATGAGCGACGCTGGCCGTTTTAATTAACGGAATGGACCGAGCCTAGCAGAAGTCGAGCGCGGCGCTGCTGCGCAATTAAAGAGGCCGTTTTGATTCCGTTTTAATTAACGGAATGAACCGCGCATTACAGAATTCGTTTTCTTTACGGAATATACTGCGCCTAGCAGAAGTCGAGCGCGGTGCTGCCGTGCAATTAAGAGGCCATTTCAATTCCGTTTTAATTAACGGAAGGAACCGAGCCTAGCAAAAGTCGAGCACAGGATATCGGCGAGCGATCACCTCCATTAATCGAAGGAAAAGGTCTTTCACGTTGAGACGTGCAACGACCAAGTACGTCTCGAGAGGAAAAAAAAAAGGAGCCTTGCCCCTGTCTACCCAGCATTGTGAGCGTCCCGCGGAGCTGGGACAGCTAGCTGTTTCCTGCAACCACTGTACCTGAAGTGTGGGTCTGCTCATTTTTTTTTTTTTTTTTGCCGGGGCGATTGTACGTGACGACTTACTGCATCCTGGGTCACCATAATTAAGCCGAGGTCCTTGCGAATCCCCATCACTCGGATGTCGGCGGCCGCTTCTGTGCTGTTCCCAACTGTCTGTCTGACGGAGAAGCCACAACTACTGGAGAAAAATTTTCAGCCAAGAAGTGCACCGCGGATAGCACCAAACTCTTGCGGAGAAGCCACAACTACAAAAAAAATTTTCTGCCAAATTTAGCGGCAGTCTGGCAACAACCATTCTTCCAGTCTGGCAACCACTTATGCAACGCCAAATGGAACCTTGCCGTCAGAAGAAGCAACACCGCATAACTGGCACTAACCTGCAAGGCATTCATTGAACGAATTCTTGAGCACAGTCGTCATCTTCTGTGATCGCTTTTCAGCATAATTTTGACGGACGCTGCAAATTCGGAGTACGTATACGCACTCTCGTTCCGTGGTTTCTAGTTCAGACATCTGGTTACAACCACCACCGGAAGAAAATCGCGTAGCTAACAATGCGGCACAAAGAATGGATGCTGTCGAACACCTGCAGTACGCCACGGTTAGGTGCGAGGCACATGAAAACGCGCGCACCGCCGCTGGACCGCCTGAACGGTACCGCACCGCACTACGTCAATAATAACAAAACGCTGCCATTGTGCCAAGTGAATATGGCCGCGCGTGACGTAATTTCTGCCACATTTTTTACGCCCTGCGCCCGCTGGGCATGCCCTCTCCTTACCTTTCCTTCCTCCGTGCTGGGCCACGACCTTCTGTACTCCTGACGGTGACCTGCCCAGCTGGCGGTGGTCTACGGAGCTGCCTGTGCCGGCTCGGCTTCCGGACTTCGCCGCATAGGGGCGCTCGAGTTGCCCCAGCTGAGCGCCGGTGGATGCATAGAAATGCATGGGTTGCCGCCGGTTTGAGAAGAGTTTCATCATGGTTTGAGTAAATGTGACAGGTATCTGGAATCATTTTATTTTATGTGACTTTGAGAATCTTCTTTTGCATTTTACATGACATTTCAGAGCAATATTTTTCAAATGGAACCACAAATAAGATACAAAAACATGTCTCATCGTGCAAAACAAGAAAGAACGATGACAGAGACAGGTTGTAAAAAGTTCTGGCCCTCCAATTGTTTACTTAACTCATGATACCGGCTATAAGTGTATACAATGGTAGACTTGTTGTCGCACACTCAGCTGGATTGAATTTACTGTCTGGACAAGAAAGTGCAAGGACTATGACATTTGACAGTGGCCGCGGCATCCAGCACGCAAAGAAAACAACCCAATACAGACAATTTTGCGCATAAATACCTTCGTCTCAAATGGCAAATGTAGATCGCAGGTACATGAATAATCAATAAAAAACACTCTGCAACTGTTTTGAAACGAAACAGCAAATAACAACAGCAAACAACTTTACCTGCAAGACTGCAGCGTTTGCTCTTTTGGAGAGCAGATTAACCTCTGCAACTTCACGGTTCAGCTTGGCTATTTGCGCTTTTAATTCAGCATTATTCCTTGCCATGGTTTGGCATTTCCGGTGCGATGATTTTGCGGAAGTCATCACACGGCGCATCTTCTGGCTGGTTATAGTTGTTTGCGTGGTCAATGAGCGTCGGTCGATCTTTTTTTTTTTTTACTTTGTCGCCAGGTGCAGTTTCAGGTGGTTCTGTGCGTTCAAATTCGGTGAGAGGGTGCATAAAGTCTGAGGATGGTCCCGAAGTTGTGTTTGCGGATTGTACTGATGACATATGTCACTCGATGTGAAGCTCTGCTGCGCGCCGGGGTTGAACCTGTTTTCTTCCTGCATTAAAAAAAAAATTATGTTCTGTTATACGCCTTTCCTTGAAATTCGTTTTCATTGGTCCAATTCGTATGCAAAAGCCGTGGGGAGACGTCAAGCATTAAACATTGTTAGTCACTTTTTTTTCTTTGGGCAGGGTCCATGTTCCTGAACATTTGAACGTTTCAAGGTGCGGCGGACTTTTGCCACGGGCGGCACCATGTACTTTGGATAGTGTGGAAACACTGACGGCACAGCATTCGCTTTCAGTCTTTTTATCTTTAGTCCCTGCTTATAGTCGGTTGGAGCAAAGTGCACACTGCACACCTTCGACCAGTCATTTGGCAGCCAAACTTCATTGCCAGCACCTTGAAAGGAAGAAGATGAACATAGTGAACTAATGTGAATAAAATAAAAAAATTTCTTGTTCTTTTCTAAGGAATATCTCATGCAATTAGAAGTTTATACTATGGTGGCGAAGTGAATAAAACACAGTTATGAAAGGAGCGTATGACATCACCTCGTTAACCATGTGACACACGTAACTGGCTGAGATACATTAGCACTAAATAAAATGGATGACCACAAGAAAGAAGACAAAAACACACGCTACTCACAACTTTTCATTAGGAGAAAAGTTTTCACGTATGTGTCCTTTTGTCATGCATGCGCGTAGACGTGTAAACATACACGTTTATATCAGACGCGATAGCACATAAATTCAAGTTCGAAGTCGAAATAATTAAGCGACAGAGGATAAATATTGACTTATGCAACGATCTCTGCTCTTTTTGGTAATGTAATTACACTACCAAAGTAATCTCCAAGAAGCTGGGGCCGGATTCACAAAACTCACTTACGAAAACATTTTTGCGCAAGAGAAATTTTGTTTCGTAAGTCGATTCACGAAACGAAAAAACCTCGTAAGAGGCCATCGTTGTCACATCGGCCGCTGCAAATAAAGTGCGCTGTGACTGCCCGGGAACATGTCGGCGATGGTGATGCAGTTGCTATATTTGCTTACGTCACCGAAAAGTGCTCGTAAGTGGATTCACGAAGTGAAATTGTGCGTAAAAACAGCATGGCTGAGAGAAAATCCTAAGAGTGGTCCGGACCACACGTAGGAACATTGTGGCTACTTAGAACCCTGCTGCCGCGGTGGTATACTTTGATGCCCTGGCTGGTTTTGAGTTAATTCACACCCATTAAGGGCTGCCTGATGACTGCTGGTGCGTTTTTATTTCTTTTGGCGCTTTGAGCTTCGCGTGTTGTTTCCCTTGTACGCAGTGGATGGTGTTGACAACCACCGTCGTCCAATAAGTTCGAAGTCGCAGTAATTGAAGAATTCTATTGGGCGTCAATGGCATAAAACTACGCATGCAAAGATTTGTGGTTGGATGAAAACCAATGTGATACGTGAATGGTCGGTGCATTCGAACGCGGCATGGCATAGGATCAACCTTATTTGTTATGTTGTTGTGTTGCGCCCCATCTCATCCAATTAAAAGTGCGACTCGAGATCCTTGCCTCATTGGTGGAAATTACCACCAAAGAGGTTAATGGGAGCACATTCTTTGCACGCTATTGGAAATAAAAATGAGAGGAAGTTTTCAATGAGTGGTTCATAAAGTTTGTGCTCTAGTGTACTTTCAATGGCTCTAACTGTCCAATGGTTGCGATCTCTGAAATACAGCTGTCGATACACTTTGGGACGATCTGGAACAAAGCGTACTTTGTAAACCAAAGCGTATTAGGGGTGCGCGTGATTACGCATGGAACTACAAACAAATCATGCATCTTCACCTTCACTGTTCAGACACCGATATGAACCGTGCTAATATGGCAAGCAATCGGAATGAAATGACCCTAGTAACTTTGTATGACACCGAAAATATGCAAACCCTCACGATTCTGGAGCAAACCTTGGCTGAATTCATCCCTACGTCAATTACCAGCCATTTAACATGGCGCACGAACATCATTCAAAGGTAGAGTGAGCCACTGACATGTATTTTGTGCGACGCAGCGACCACTTGACCTGAGAATAATAGCGTTGCGAAGGCGAATCCCCTGTCGCATGCTCTGATCGAAGCAGACGACAAACGCGAGCAGCCGACGGCTTGGCCGACAGGCACAGCTTGTGATTGGTTGTGAAGCAATACCCTCCACATCAGCTCACTCCGTGACGTTGCCAAATTTAGCGGCAGTTTGGCAACAACCACCCCAAAGTCTGGCAACAGACTTATGCAACGCCAAATGGAACCTTGGCCTTCTGACAACGGACGATGCATTTGCGGTCCACAGGCCCTTATTAAGACTGTAATCTAATCTTGCTTTTCATGTTCCTGTACAGTTACCACATGCTTCTGCGCATTAAAGTTCCTGTTCTGCTTCGCTTAAGATGCTCCCTCTTCGCAATATTGTCTCGCTCTCCGCAATATGGTCTGTATTGTAGCATAACTCGTTCAAATGTCCACACGCACCTGCACAAGGTAACTAGGTGCACCTCACTAGATGCGCGTGCTTGTGCATTCAGAAGCTGACAAAGCCGTTCGAATGATGTTGACCAAGTGATGTTGACCTTTTCTCACGCAGTCCGGCTAACTTTCCCACCTTTCGCCCTAACACTATCCTGGTCTCCGTAGCTACTAGTGCGCGTGAATCACACTGGAGACGTGTTCCCACGCACTTTCGGGTGGTCTTCGCTGCTTTCGTCCTAATGAAATCATGGCCTTTGGGATATTCGTAGGAACCAGTGCGCGTCAGACAAAAAAGGGGCGAAAACAAAGAGGCCGGCGCAAACTCAACGGGCTGCCACGCACACAAGCTCCACCGACGCAGACTTTACTGGCATAATTACAGACCTCCGGGTTTATTGCAGGGAAGACATTTTTTGTTTTTTTTTATCGTTGTGTCTATCCCACAGCCTGACCGAAAATTTCATAAAGCCTAAAGAGAAGCGCCAAAGGGGGAAAAAGTGATCTGAAAGAAGCTGTACAAATTTCGGTGCCTGGTTCGTCGCACGGCAATGTCCGAAATATCATCTTTATTTTCACAAAGAACACATCAAATAAAAAAAGTTTGAAGTGCAACTTGCCGTGTTTATCGTAAACGCTGGCAGTGCAAGAGTACAACAGTCATACGCAGAGATTTCGTCAACCGTATCGCGGCAAGACAGCGTGTTGAAATCCGTTCCGTTGGTTTCGGATAGCACCGGTGCATAGGCACGTGCTTTTTGAGACAGAGAGGAAGTCGCGCCTTCTGCTTCGCATTCATATGTAAACAAGAGAGGAGAATTTGCCTAGTCAATATGGCCGACTTCCGGCTTCATCGCGGCTTCAAAACGAGTGATTCGCTCGCAGGATTTCAAGCTGGACGGTGATGCCCTCGCGATCTCCGACGCCAGCGTAGCTCCCGCCGACTGGTTCGCCCTCCGCGGTCTCCTGACGCCGTGCAGCTCTCGCATTGTGGCGCCCCGCCCTTGGACTGCTTCGACCGGATCCCCACTTTCCTATCTACTTTTTTCCGCTGCTTGCCTGTCTACTTATTCATCTATTTTCCTTCTATTCTTTTTATCCCTCCTTCCCCCCACCCCTATAAGGCACTGCGCCGTGTCGCCTGAAGGCAGACAGAAATTAGGTGCCTTTTTTCTCTTCCTTCTAACCACTACCACCAAAACGAGTGACGTCAGGGCCTCTTCTTACCTTTTTCTTCCTCCGTGTGGCCCAGTGATAATGGCCACCATGATGTCATTTCCTCCACGCTTTTCACGTAGCGCGCCGGCTGGGCATGCTTTCTCATATTTTTCCTTCCTCTGTGGGTACAGCCATAGGAATTCATTCATTCATCCATCAATTCATCCCGATCTCGGGGATATATCCGGTTTCTGCTCGTTCCGAGTCGTTCGCCTGTCATTGGTGTAGTGTGCATGGAGGAAGGAAAAGTTATATCTACTCCATGGTGGTGTATGATGGTGTATGTATGAGCTGTGAGTGTGCGCGAGCGCCTGTGGTGAATATTTTGCATGCTTGCAACGATGAAGCTTTGCCGGCTGCACTCTGCAGCTTCCAAAGAGTCGAACACTGTGCAGTGCGAAATGCGGCCCAAGCGTTTTCATCACGCGTTAGTTGCGGTCCACGACGTTGTGTCTTGTGTGCGGCCGTGGACGGGCACGTTGGGATGGGCAGCGAGCCTGCACCTATGCACTGGCTGCTTCAAGTGCGGAGAATTGATGCGATTCAAATGTGGATAAACTTTGCAATGAGAGTTGGCTAAGTATGTGCGCGTCGCAAACCAAATGTGCGTGCGTGTGTGAACACGTCTTGCGACCTGCCTCGTGTTCGTACCGCGTTGAAACGGAAAAGTTATAGAAAAAGGAAGTCGTATTCGGAAATCAAACAGTCGGTAGCGTAGTGTAAAGCACTACCCTCTTTTTAAGCAGTCGCGAGGTACGAGTTGATTGCAAAGACGTCATGTACCCGGAGAAAGTTCGTGCAAGTTCAAAAACCTCAACTAAATGCTTCGTGGCTGCCAAACAAAGAGGTGAAAAACACCCATGTTCTCAAGGGTGATAATCCGCTTCGGCATTAATGTAGCGCGACGAAACATGGTTTTTTGGGGCGTGTCACTGACTGGTAGAAACGCTTTGTTTCTGCCAACTACGATATTGACGTCCTCTTGACACCGCTAAGGAGAGAGCTTGAACAACGTCCTCGTAGTCGCTGTACGTAGAGAGCTCGCGTTAAATAGCGGCCTGCAAAAAAGTGTGCCTGCTACATTTGATGATTTTGACTGCAAAGCGTATTTAGAAAAAGAAAGTAATAGAAAGGCTGGAGTGGTCAAGATATATTGCGATGGTTTGTTGTGAAATGCGCACGTCAGCCCTATAATCTCAGCTGCGAATTGTCTTGCTAATTGTCTGCTGTAATTATTGAACCAATCGGAAGCAGATACAGCAGCAGTTCTTATCAGGACTGTGTCAGTTCACCTGCCTAGCTGATTCCACCGTGACATTTACACCAGCTCAACGCCTGTACATACAGTGCGGCACTGCTCACGAGAATGCGAGGGATGCTTTCAACCTGACCTACACAAAGCTTTGGAAAATGCACCAAGCTGCACATCAAAGTACTAAAGAGCAGTGATTCATTTTTAGCTGAAAAAGAAAGTGCAGGCTAACTGGAAAGACCTGTCATTTTGTCTTTTTCTTTCTTTTTTTATACTCATCAACAAGGAACTCGCTCGTCAGCTGTGTATTGCAACCAGCATTTGCCACTGCCTTCATTTTAACACCTGTCAGATTTGCCTGCAGCATTGTCAGACCCACACTGTCTCGCCTTTTGCAGACATGGCTTCGTTTGTAGTCGAGATGACGGGACCTCCTCAAGAACCTATGGACTCCTGAGGATCCCCCCTGAAAGACTATGAGGTGATGAAATTGACAAATTTTATTTAATCTAAGCTATGCAGTTGCAAAGGTAGTCCTGTCAACTCATTCAAAGTAGTTGCCTTGAATGAGAGCATTTTTGTGCATTGTCTGTGCCTGATGACCTGCTATGCATTCGAAAATGGAAGGGTGCCATAAAAAGCGATTGCCTTGAATGAGAGCATTTTTGTGCATTGTCTGTGCCTGATGACCTGCTATGCATTTGAAAATGGAATGGTGCTATAAAAGTTTGTAGTAGATAGCTACTTTGCATGATGGCCACTATAGGGCTTTGCCACAATAATTCCATGAACAAATTCAAGGATGCACTTTATAAACGGGTCAAATAATTCACATTACTTTGCTGTCTAGCAGTGGTACTTTGACACAATAACTTCCAAAGCGATGCTTTGTGCGGTATTTCACAAGGCTAGTGCTGGACGCTTTTCATTGTTTCACTTGCGTTGAGATGGCCGACCAAAAACATCATCGGCTGTAGTGGGCTGTGTGCACGGGGCCTATTTATTGTGTGACATTTCACGAAAAAGATTGCCTAAGAACACAGCCCCAGGAGGCATGTGACCCATAGGAGGGAAACTTCCCCATGGGACCCCGTTCGTCTTATGATGCACATTAGAGGTTGGCACAGGAGTCGTGTAGAGTGAAAGCTGAAGGCCTGGCCCGGGCTCGGCTAGGCTAACCTCTTCTCCTCTCGAACTAAATTGGGCTACATTGTTTTTTGTTGGGCAGGCGCTGCCAGGTGCAAAGCCCTAATCAAGCCCAAAGTATAAACGTTGTGCCGCAACTGTTTTCCACCACGTAGCGCCGCGACTGCTCCATTCTCGGTTCTCCTTTTCCTTGACCACCTTAAACGCAAGAGGTTAAGTCATAAGATGAACTTTGTGATTTATCCATACATGGGGTAATCCCTTCTTCTGAATCCAAGGTAGCAAACTTCTGAGAGAACAAACAGTCTAAATATTCCAGTTTGCCTTGCTAAAAATATTGGCTATTCCGGCTTCCAGTCAGGGTGTCTACCAACCTGGAAAAGTCAGACAATTCAGACCGTTTTGGAAAAGTCGGGAAACTTCTGAAAAATCCGGCCTGTTCATTGAAACTGACTGTAGCCTGTGCGACTGTCATAAAAATAAGCATTGCAATAGATCAAAGTTTAAAAAGCCACTCTTTCGGCTTCAACTACAGTGAGCAGCAAAAAGTTGTGTGAAAAAAAAAAAGCAATGTGCAACTGTTGCTTCTTAGTGAAAAGGTGAAAGGGTACAATCACCAAAAGAAGGCAAAGTTTACTGACATTATGGCACCCGCTATGGGAGCGTTGTAAAAAAACTTGGGCTAGTTGGTACCACATCTAAAAAAATTAGAGCGCAAACGTATGACACAATCACACACACTCACAAACCCAGGCATCAAACATGCACAGCACTCGCTTCCAACTGATTTATTCATAGCTCGAAGGCTTGAATATATACATGGGGCACATGCGTGCGTTAACACCAAAGAAGGCCAACAGCATACATTATCAGGACATACAGGAGCCTTGTTTACAAAAATAGCCATAAGAAAGGCACAGTGTCACACTACAGCTTTTTAATTTTGGACCATCGCCTGTATATTTGTTGTTCTTATAAGTTTTATTTTTAAAAACAATAAAGTGAAAATGAAATGAAGTACGCCTAAGTACGTAACGTAAGCACCGAAAGTACATTGTCGGAAGCCACCCATCACCTTCGTTCAGCATATGTGCAGTTGTCTACGTGTGCTGGTATTTCAGGTGCAGGCATAATGCGAGCTTTCCTTTGGCCAGAACACGCACACTTGACTAGTCAGTTTGGCGGCCTGTAGAATCCACATGTTTAGCGAGGGCATATGAGGTCACGTAGGATCCTGACACCACGTACTTTTTTTTTTTTCGTAGCGAGAAACATAAACCTTTTGTAGATGGTTGATTCTGGGTGATAATGAATGAGGAGGGGTTTTCAACTCTTTGCTTGAAATCAGTGGTCTCACCGATGTACTGGTTGTTGCAATTGTGGCAGCCTGAAGCAAAAAAGACATTGGAAATTTTTTGCTTGGAAACTTGTCCTTCACATTGTCTAAAGCATTCTCTAGCTTTCATATTCGTACATACACTATGTTGATCTCTGTTGCTTTTACATATCACGAAGCATATCTGGCTTTCGAACCACAACATAATTCACGTTAAATTTGTGCATGTTTGTCTTGACCATGATTTGGCTTGGCTTGAAGGCCTTTTGGTTCGGATAGGACTGCCATTAGCAGAGGCTTGCTGGGCTATGTCATGCCTTTTATTATTATGATCATTACTATCATCATTATTATTGGTGATGCAATGGCAAACGTCCTCAGCTATACGCAACTTAATCTAAATTTCTCATTTCAGCTTCTTGAGGTGGTATTGCAGTCAAACCCCTTTATAAGAGACACTGATATAAGAGCCAAATGGATGTAAAAGACACCAGTGTGCCTACAGTAAAGTATGAGTTGATATGAAAAATGCAGACATGGTGCCATGCTAATAAAAGACATATCATATAAAAGACAAGAATTGCTGCCCAGAGCATGCCTCATATAAAGAGGTTCAACTGTGTTAAATCTGTGATTACTTTTTAGCCTTATATTCATAGAAGAGTACACAAGCGAAGGTAACCCACCGGCATATGTGATAAATCTATGAAATCGAGAGAGTTGTTGCCCCCTGACAGATTCCTTCTTGCCAGCACATGTTCAAACGTCATCGCTTTAAACGCTACCCCTAGCTTTCATTGCAGGCCATCTTAGGGCTTTGTCGAACTCCAAGGGTCAGAGCCCAGAGAAAGAAAACATCAACATGCATGTGCTCATTGTGGAAAAGAAAAGAATGAATGAAAGAAAAAAAAAATTATGCAGTAACGCTCCATTCTTGCGAAATTGTTAGTCATTCTTCAATGCAAGGTGCACAGAATACGTAAGTAGTAGTGTTTTTTTTTTCCTGAAAGGTATGTACAGAAGGTGTGCAATTTATATGGGGATGCAAATCCATAGTAAATACAGCGATCCATGTTGCATCAGATCCAATCCAATCTACATTCTAAATACTTAAGTCAGTAAATACAGGTCAATCTAGTACAATCCACATCTTAAACGTCCTGGGCTGTAACCATTGTAATGAACTAGAATATACTCCAGTCGCGGAACTGACCGGGCTCCGGCATCCTCCTTTTACACAGATGTTATGGGATGGTGCCACTTCTACGTTTTCTAGCAGCTTCAGCTGCATTGTAGGACTGTCGTGGGTGCCTTTAAACTTATAGCTGCAATAATTTTAACTCGCATGTTTGCTTTCTAGTTCTTCCGAACATTCAATAGCCAACTTGCTTACTCTTTCACTCCGAGGTTTCATTTTGGCCAGATGTACACATATTTTAATGTTTACCGCACGAGCTCAGAACATTTCGAGTACTTGTGGTACATTTATTTACTTATCTTACAGGAGTGCCTGAGTTTTTTTTATCATTTGAGGCTCTGTTACCACTGCACAGAGCTTTCCAAGCAGCAGACGTAAGGTTCATGGAATTTGCTTGAAATCATCATGGAAAACCTGGAAAAGTGAGGGAATCTAAAAAAAAAAAAACAAATTGGTAGAAGCGCTGCCACTGCAAGCAACGAACCAACCTTCAGTCGGGCAGGATATGAGATGCGGGAGCACCGCACTTCACATAAGCTTGAATCACTTGACAGCTTTTTTTACCCTATATATGTAATCATTGCATATAGTGAGTGTCATGTGCTGTTTGCTCATGTTTCATGTTGATATGTTGAATAAAATTCCAAAATATCGCAAAATGACGTCTTGGCTCAACAGCAAACCTTCATAATGTCAGACTGGACCAGGCCCAAGCTTTTGTTTGTGCGCATCGGACTGGATAGGCTTCCAGCCCTCTGGGGTCAGGCTCGGGCAGGCCTTCGACGCAGTCAGTGGCCCCGGACCGGGCTCTAAAGTTAGCCCTGTGTACAAATCTGGTACACACTTCCCACATTATTTAATATTGAGAATAACTCTACACTGTTTCGTTAAAGTATTCAACCTAGATGCCGCTGTAATGCACCAATGTTGTTGAAGCATGCCCTTGCGGTTAGCTTCTTCAACACTTGACAAAAATTTAGCACATACTGTCTCCTTGTCGACAATGTGAAGTACCTGTGAAGTCGGTTTAGAATAATACAACTTAATATGAAAATCCCAAAGCACGACCAGCATTCCAACCTGTCGCATAACACCTCCGTCTGTGCTTATACAAAGAAAATATTAATGAGATCTAACAGACAATCATGCTCAGGAAAGTATAGGAGATGTTATTAGAAGTAATTGTAATGTAAATATGAAGAAAGATTGATTGATAGGTGGGGTTTAATGTCCCAAAACCACTATATGAGAGACGCCTTACTACAAGCCTATGGAAACTTAGACAATCTGGAGTTCTTTAATGTGCACCCAAATCTGAGCACACGGGCCTACAGCATTTTCGCCTCGTTTGAAAATTTAGCCGCCGCAGTTGGGATTCGATCCTGCGACCTGCAGGTCAGCAGCCAGGTGAAAAAGAAAAGTGGACGAAAAGATAACTTGCTGGTGGGCAGAGACCGAACCTGCGACCTTCGAATATTGCGTGCAATGCTCTACCAACAGAGCTACCATGGAGTGGTAGCTCAGTTGATCTTTTTGTCCGCTTTTCTTTCTTTACATTTACTTAACAAGTACTTCTAATAACATTCCCTATACTTTTCTCGGCAGGATTGTATGTAAGATATTACTGATAATGTGTTTAACAAAGAAAAATAAGCCCTTAAACGTAAACTTCTTTTCTTCATTCATAGCAAGGGTCTTGTTCAACAAGACTTTGGGCCTTCAGGTAAAGGGATTATTGGTCAGCTGCCAGCTTGTAATATGATCACATGCTACGCGACACCGAACAGGGAGTAAAAGAGTG